TTTCATCCCACTGTAGTGCAAGCAGGCACAGCCTACAAGAGAGTGGCAATTCTGCTGAGAAATCAGGAGCAGTGCAGCATCTTTGCCGCACCATCACAGTAAGCTGTGTTAGGCGGACTTCACTGGCAAGCTCAAGAGGTATTTGTGGGACTTTGTAGGGGAACTAAGAGACAATGTAAGTGCAAATGTACTTGTAAAGGTCTGAAGCACATGTTTTTGTTAATGGGAGGTCATAGTCCTGCCTAAAGCTGGCATTAAACGTTACAATTATCTGCAGATTTTCTATGTTCAGATGGAAAAGGTGCAACAGAATCCTCCATCTACACTTAACTGGGTGGATGAAGTCATCTCCACCTGGGCCAATCTGCTGCACTTTTTTCATCTGACCACAGAAAATCTGCAGATAATTGTAAGGTGTATGGGCACCTTAAAGATGGTCACATGTACAAAATCAGCTCCAATTAAATATTCTAGAACAAATTGTTCCTGCATTGCTATCAGAGACTCAGTTTAATGATGTCCACATAGAATCCGCATGATAAAATATATAATTATGCATGGAAGGAACACAAATGCAAATGATCACCACTGACCACCAGGATGTTGTCAGATGGGTTGGAACATTTTTTTCTTTTGAATGGTATTTTTCAGATTGTAGATTTTTCAGATTGCACATACCGTATTTTTCGCTCCATAAGACTCACTTTTTTCCCCCAAAAGGCGGGCAAAAATGTCTGTGTGTCTTATGGAGCGAATGTGTGAGCGGAGGGAATCGCATGACGCCTGGGATATGCAGTTCCGGGCGCAGGGCGAGTATTTTTTTTTTTACATTTAGCCCTGCTTCTGACAAGCAGAGCTAAATGTATAGTGTGGAGCCGCCGCCCGTTTTCATGCACTTGTATGAAAGGAGCAGCAGCGATCATGTCCGCTCCCCCTCCCCCCGGTTTTCGGGGTCCCCCGCTCCTCTGGGGGACCCGTGACCACGGCATAGGAGCTCGCCATAGAGCCCGTAGAGCAGAAGAAGGTCTCCTCTGCGTGATCACTGAGACCGTAGCGCTATAATCACAGTATGGAAGTATGCATTGGAAGGGTACTTCTTGACGCACCAATAACGCATCCTGTTGATGTGGACGTTTACCATTGGCTGTGAAAAGCATCCATTAAAGGATCCTGCACTGTGACAATGCTTGTGTCATGCTGTAAAGACGCAAATGACAGCAACAAGACTGGTCGGCTACACAGAATGCAGGCTTGCACCGACTGGTCTCCATTACCAGAAGAGGTGCCACTAATCCTCATGTAACTGGTAAGTAAATTAGGGTTTTACTTTAGGGCCTAAAAATAATACAATATCGGGGTACTAGTGTAGTAAACAACATTTTTTTCCCATAACCAGATTTCGCTTTTAATCTACCTGACAGTTTCTTATATCGCTCAGTGACCCTATGGGTGAGATCTCTGTGTTTAAGTTATTGGGTGCACACACATTCTATGCCCATTAGGTGGGATCTCTCCTTGTTGGATTCGTTATACATTTCTGAAACATGCAAGGGCTGACTGGAACCCAGATTGAAAGGAAGAGTTTTGGCAAATATCTCAAGGTCTCTATGTTGATATGCAAGACATCGGGGGCATAACTAGAAATCACAGGGCCCCATAGCAAAAATCTGAATGCCCCCCTCAGGTTATGGGTGTCCATAACCTGTGCCTGCAGGCCCCACATATGCATGTTACGTTTTGGTGGACTGACCTATTAAAAAATATTTTATGTTACTTGCTGCAACTCCCATGCTGCCAACCTAGATCACATGGTCTCTGTCTACCAAGCATTAGAGAATGTAGATTCTATTCCTTTCAATAAGACAATGTCTGAGAGGAAAGAGGACGAGTAAGGCAATTGAATCAGACACTTCATACTACAGAGGGAAAACACTGCCTGTACATGCTGGTAACATTATCCAATGTTCGCCATACATCTGGATTACCTAGTCTTAACTAGTAAATCATGGACTCAGTATCATTTACGGTATCCTTAATAATATAAGAGTCAAGTCTGAGTTTTGCTTCCTCAGCATAGCTTCACTACCATTGAGGATAATTCCTAAATGAGAGTTTCTTTTTGCCAATGGGGGAATTCTGCCTCCAGTAGCGATTTCTCCTCCTCCTCCTGCATGTCTGACCCCCCTGGTGCGCTTACACTTTCCACTTCCCTCTTCTACTCCACTTGCCAAATCCTATCCCAACACTGTGCCTTGATTTCCATCTGCTATTCCTCCACTTACTGCCCCGCCATAGTTGCAAAAGACCCATTTGAGATAGTTGAATGCCTACTCGCGACTATCCAGAAAACAACCGCACACATAACCCAGCCACTCCCTCCTGACTCTGCTCTCCAAAGTCTCCAGGAACCAAAATTGCTTGTACTATATCTTCACTGTCTACAATACTGCTGTGGCTTTATGGATTCCAGTGCTGAGCTCACAACTGCTGCATGCGGGAGATCCTGCCAGGCAGCACACACAGACTGTGGGACCTTGAAGTGCTGTGCAGCGGGCAGCTGGGGTTGCGGAGTCCAGTAAAGTACAGGCAGGAGGAGGTGCCGGCGGATGTTTGGGTGGCTGTGTCTCTCTGCTCTCCGGACACTCACTATGCTGATATAACCTTTGTTGGAAGAGAAGAGAGCAGGCATGAATTTGACAAATCAATAACAGATCAGAGCTGGCTCTAAGATAGGTGGATTTTGTGGTGCATGTGAATCTAAAGGAGCCCACTTTACTGCCCCCACACAGGCATCTCTCACTAGCCCTGCTAACCAACATAACCTACCCACTTTTTGACCAGCCACCCTACCCCCTTTCCCACACTAACAGACATCCCTCCCTGTTATTGACATAAAGGATGTGCCATATCTGCCCCCCTAGACTTGCAGAAATTAAGCCATGGCTCTACTTCTATTGTATAGAACTTTTAACAAATGAAATCAATCACTGCAAAGAATCGTTACATTGTTATGGGAATAAAAGCTATACACTTGATTTCTATCAAAATCCAGAAGCCTTACTGTTATACAAGGGGGCCGCCTCCAACCATGCTTTATTTGGACACGATGATTAAACTCTTTAAGTACTTTATATCCTTTATATACCTTTACCCCTTTGAAAAGGGAAAAACTAGAAATAAATGTATGCAGCAAACGTATTATGTGTGACAGCTATAGCATTATTCTGCCTGGATACCAACTGCAGAGACATGCATTTACTTGCCAATTCATTTGGTCCCTTCTCTCAGTGATGGATGTGTGGTGGAGCAGTAACTGCCTTAGTTACCGATAACCACTGAGAACAGGATCAATAGATTTAAAATACCACTTCCACATTAGATACCATAATGCTGCTTTGGAACATCTCCACCATTCTAAGCGTAATGATCAAGCTGGGCTGATCCACCATGTCGCTGTATGCAGTAATAATGTCACTTGTTAGACTCAATTCCATTTATACAGATTCATTGATCATCAAAAACACTTTAGACATAAATGATGTTTTTTTACAAATGTCTTGCTTTTACAGCTTCAAGATGGAATGCATGACCTCACACAGATTCTCTTTTAGTACTTCACCTACTCCTTTTAATGCCACTTTCTGTATCAGATTGGATTTTAAGAAAACTAGGATATTCATTGTGGGTGTCTGCACCGAAGACAGGCTTGATATTACTTTTTAACAAAAATACAGTAACCCTGGGCAACTAATTACATGCCCAGTTTTGCGGCTTTTATCTAACTACCGCACAGTGGAATGACACTAAGGGCTTTATTGGAAACTACATATTAACATATGACCTAGCACTGTATGTCTTAGCTTTAGTCATTTCTGACAGGAACTACATGCTTTCTGGGGCAAGGAGCCATGGAACCCTATAAAGTCCTGTCCTGGGGAAAAAGGAATAATTGATTTCTACAAATGTGTCCTTCTCTTCATCCGAGTCTTCAACAGACAACACACACACACACCATTGTATTTTTTATAATCTCAGTGCAAGAATAGAAACATTGATAGCTACAATAATTATTTGAAGGCTATCGTATTTTCTTTCAATTCAGAGCCATGGAACCCTATAAAGTCCTGTCCTGGGGAAAAAGGAATAATTGATTTCTACAAATGTGTCCTTCTCTTCATCCGAGTCTTCAACAGACAACACACACACACACCATTGTATTTTTTATAATCTCAGTGCAAGAATAGAAACATTGATAGCTACAATAATTATTTGAAGGCTATTGTATTTTCTTTCAATTCAGCAAATAGTAAATGTGTATTAACAATGTCACCAGGGGTCTCCACTATCTTGCATGTGTTGTGTGTATACGGTATATAAGTCTATGCACATTAATTATATGTATTACATACAATTCTGGTAGAAATGCCAATAATAATGTTCAGACCTCCCATACAGTATATTCTAAATATATAATTACAATATATGGATATTACATACTGTAAGGTGTGTTGACTTAAGAAGCCATAGCAATCGACCATCATAAAGGTTGTACAATAAAAGTTCCCTGTAAGGGTATATTACTATAATCTGGTCTGTGGGGTGGTGACTTACACAAGATATCATTTCTTATAGGAATTTACCCAGTGCACAATGTCTCAGAGGGCTCATAAGGCACAAGGACTGTACTATTCAGTGTAACCATTTGCATATGTCATTGTTACAATGGCCTCAATATACAAACTAGTAGTCCCATCACCGGAGCCATTTTTAAAAATGTATTTTATTTTCTATCCGATTAACCGATTAATCGAACTTAATAATCGGCTAACTAATCGATTTTGAAAATAATCGTTAGCTGCAGCTCTACAATCTATAAAGCAATATAACAGCTTTGCCTCTAAACAGACATTAAGAAAGTATTTTAATATATAAAAGAAAGGAAATATATCACAAATTACCCAGGTTTTTATTGATCCTGGATGTTAGAGAAGTGTACTCACTGCTTGCTGTATAGCTGACCTCGCCGACCTGTGGTAGGACATCTGCATTTTGGATAACTTGCAACAGCCCCACTGGGCGCACAATGGGATCGACACCTACAGAGCTCTCATTCACAGTTACATCACTGGCTCCTGTAATTTGATTGGTTGGTGGTCCTACCGAACCTTCAAAGTCTGGCGTAATATCATCTAAGCAATCTGCATTAGGCTGTTGGGAAATAACAGAACACAATTAGGATTCAACAAATAAAACACATAAAATAAGCCTAAACAAAAAATACTGTTGTTACTATAGTGACGGGCCAATGTAGTAACAGAACCTCCTTGTGGCTGCAATACTCCTTTTTAAGCCTACATGATAAATTACCTTTGCCATGAAACATGAATTAACCTTACAGCACAGAACTAGGAATGTGCAACTGTGTGTGTTTCTAGTTCCCAGGCCAGATGTCAAACTGTAAAATGTGTCTCAGAGTTATTGCCAACCTAATGGATGCATACTGACCCAGCTTAACTTGGCATGGCCATCGGAGCATCAAAAAACCCTGGTCACAAAAAGGTTAAAGTTTAAAAAAAAAAAGGTTACACATAAGACTATTGTCCTCACAAATATCCTTTTTATTCTTAATAGAAGTGATGTGGTATGGAAGCAGAAAGGGCAAAAGAAAAAGTGATGTAATTTCTTAGTTTTCTAGGTAAACCCATCTTGGAGAAGTGTGGGGTTGTGTAACTTCCTGTTCACAGGTGCATCACATATCCTGCATAACAGAGACTGACCACATGCACACAAAACTACAAATCCTATACTTTAACCCATTACTCTCTCTGCACCACCCTGTTGTATTGAGGGCTGTGACTGGCCAAACAGCCTTTAAATGTCTCTATCCCTCTTCTATATGGCTGTGTGTCACACCTGTGTCACTTGCTGTCTCTGGAGCCTCACGGCCTTACCTCCTCCACTCTTTGTGTGGTTCTGATTCTAGCACCTTGGAGCTGCTCCCCTATGACATTGAATCTTCTGCACACAGGGGAATGCTGAGGGCAGCCACCAGTCACTGATGTCCACCCACCAGGAGGGCAGTTTGTAAACACAGCTAAGCTCTATAGTGCTCCGCCACAACCACTAAAGATTTTGCAGCATTTTGGCCAGTGAGGGAGGCACCTCTATTAGGAAAAATTGGCATTGTCACCAGTGTGACATGGCCCTTACTGCCCTAAGGCTCAGATAATGATTTTGTGAATGACTATTCCTGGTCAGCATGTTTCTGCAGCTCTTATGATGTGTATATGTCTCATACAGCAACATAGGGACTTTGTTTTCTATACCCATGAGACAAACCAATTCAATTACATCTTTTAATCAAGTTAAGACAAATGCTGTAATTTTGTTTTACAAGGACCTCATACATAAAATTACTTATTTTAAAAATAAAGATAATTTGCTTGAGCAGTATTATTCTAATACATTCTGCATGCATGTTATACATCGTTCTAACCTTCTGCACAAATACTAAACTCAGATTTTTAAAACCCATATTTGAACCCAAATCCAAAAGAATTTGTCCTATCCTCCCATATTGTAGCTTTCCCAAACGTGCCTCCCGTGTGCTGAGCGAACCTTGTGGTGCTGACTGTGTATGAGTGGCTGTGTGCAGGCACCATGTTGGAGAAATAGACTATACAGACGTCACAGAAAAACCACCAGGGCATGTGCAGAAGACTAAAATAGCATATGCCCATGTGTTTTATTATGAATATATTTCAGGTTTCTAGGAGACTGCCAACAATCTTCCTTCTTGGTTTTTTTTAGGATCCTTAGAACAAATCTCTCTAACATGATGCTTGTAGTGCCATCCAAAAATGCCAATTAAAGCTTTATCATGCAAAGAAGAAACCATATCTGAACATGACCCAGAAACTCTGCCAACTTCTCTGGGCCAAAGCTCATAAAATGGTCTGTTGCAAAGTGGAAAACTGCTCTGTGGTCAGATGAATAAAAATTTGACATTCTTTTTGGCAACCATGAGCACCTCATTATTCGGACTAAAGAGGAGAGGGACCTTCTAGCTTGTTATCAGCGCTCAGTTCGAAAGCCTGCATCTCTGATGGTATGGGGGTGCATTAGTGCGTATGCAATGGGCAGCTTGTACATCTGGAAAGGCACCATCAACGCTGACAGATATATCCAGGTTTTAGAGCAGCATATGCACCCATCCAGACAAAGTCTATTTTGGGGAAGGCCTTTGGTATTTCAGCAGGACAATGCTAAACTGCATACTGCATGTATGTACAACAGCTTGGGTTCATAGTAGAAGAGTCTGGGTGCCTAACTGGCCTGCCTGCAGTCCAGACCTTTTACCAACTGAAAATATTTGGCACATCTTGAAACGAAAAATACGACAAAGACGACCCAGGACTGTTGAGCAGTTAGAATCCTATAACCGGCAAGAATGGGCCAACATTCCTCTCTTAAAACTCCAACAACTGGTCTCCTCAGTTCCCAGACGTTTACAGAATGTTGCTAAAAGAGGGGATGCTACACCTTGGTAAACATGGCCCTGTCCCAACTTTTTTGAGATGTGTTGCTGCCATCAATTTCAAAATTGCCTTATTTTTTTCTTAAACTGGTAAATTTACTCAGTTTAAACATTTGATATGTTTTCTATTTTCTATTGTGAATAAAATATGGGTTTATGAGATTTACAAATCATTGTCTTCTGTTTTTATGTAGATTTTACACAGCGTCCCATTTTTTTTGGGAATTGGGTTGTAGTAGGTCGCTGTAACCAGCATTAATACTTTATTGCAACATTCTTTTTTCCTTGCGTTAGACTCACATACAGTGTGTCTTTAGAGTAAAAGTCTAAAAAAATAAAGAATACATATTAGTCATTAAACTCTATCCCTCTTATTAAACTTTAAAATGTTAGTTATGAAACTTTCTGACGTTCTGGGTGCCCAAATGATCAATCACATGCTTATGCCCTGGGCTAAAAGAGCTGTTTTACAGAAGGAGAGTTTTTTTCTTTTTTTCATATCATACTAATCACTGAAAAGCCCACAATATTTTCTCATTGCAATTTGATGCGTGATAGTTTATGCTATGCCAGATGAAGATGAAATCCAGCAAATCATAACTATATAATGCCGATATGCCTCAACCTTGGTATATGTCCTTAAAGTACTAATGGTACCCTTACATGGTGGACTGACTAGGTAGAATCGAAAATTTCATGTAGAATTCAGAAGCCAGTTAATCTAATTTAGAAACCAGCAGGTTCTTTTGGGGAGTCACAAAATGTGTGTTTTTACTGACACCAATAAACAAAAAAATAGTCCAGAAGGCAGGGTGTAATGGTTACTGATATAGATGGTTTATTTACTTTATACGATTCTTTTTCTTGGTAAAGCAGCAACATATCTGCAGATGTTTTGCAGCATTAAAACTTGTATTAAACAATGAGTATGGTTTTAGAATCAGAACAACTATTTTTACACTGGAGTTGATAAATGAGTTATTTTTACATTTGTCTTGCACTTAGAATTGCAGTCTCCAGGGGCCGCATCTCTTATAAGGTGAGTCAAGCAGCATGCATCTGGTATCACAATAAAGGTAGTTAAGAGGCACAGAAATACAGATTATTATATACTTCGTATTGCAGACTTTGTACCTGTCACAATTAAGCTGCAGACTTGCAGCTGAGCGGTTACTTGTAGTTCTACAAGTATATACATACCTCTTACCCCTGGTTCTGCAGGCATGCAGGGCTGTGCTGGTGCTTGTAGTCCTCCAGGCATGTGCTCTGAACCTGACTCACACTTGGTGCAGCTTTAGGCGTCGGCCGACCTCTCCTGCTGTTTCTTATACAGCTACTCGGCCAATTAGTGCAGTCCGCGTGTGGCCAATCCTGTGGATCCTCCATCTTCCTGTCTCTATTTAAACTCAGGGCAGCGAACAGCATGCGGCCCGAGCAACGCTTTCCTAAGCTAGATGCCCAGCCTCCCTGTTTGTGATTATACCTGAATGCCTTGAAGTTTTGCAGTGTACCTACCTTTGGCTTGTCCTTGGATATCCCTGTCTACAGTCTGCCCTGTGCTTTGCTTTGTCCCTGGAAGTCTTAGTCTTCAGCCTGTCCCTAGCCTTTGATTCGTACCCTGTACCTGTTAGGTGAGTTGGGTGAACCTAGGGATTGTGACCTGGGGTCAGCACGCAGCCAAGCCCATCTCCACCATCAGAAGCTCTGGCGAATACCGGCTGGCCCTTATATTCCACATCCCAGGGGACCCCATGCTACCTACTCAGCATTGCAGCACCTTGCCTTGTATTTGAACGTCCAGCTTTAGCTGTTTTCCACTGCCTCATTCAGTTCCCCTGCTTTTACTCCAGCTCTGGGAGTCATCAACCTACACTGCTTGGACCCTTTTCTCTAAGTGTCCCTGCCAGTGTAGTAGAAAGGGTCCACATACCCGACTCCAGTTCATACCCGTGAGTTCCGATCCGTGACAGTACCTTTGCTATATGTTTGCTTTATAGTGCCATGCTAAGGAGCTCACTCACTGCTGTACTCCCACAGTAGGCAATCTGGCTGCTCAGGTATGTGCCGGGTGTGTCTGAAAGTTAAACTGGGCTGGTGTGACCTACTGTACAATGCTCAATTGTATTTTAAATCAGCCAGAAAGGTTCACTGGAGTCTTTACATATTATTTGTGTATTCCCAAAATGGTACATTACCATTAGTGAGGCAGTTATATGAATTTGTGCTACTTTACTGGCTGAAGGAAATTTTCAGTGTGCTGTATATATGCCAGTGCCACTTTTTATTCCCAGGCCAGCACTGTTCCACTGTCAAATTGAAACCCAAGCCTAAATCAGTGGAATATGATCAAAAAGTACTAGTGGAGGAGTTATTGAAGTTATTGTAACACAGGAAGTTGAGAATTTACTGGGCAACTGTCATAACTGCTTATATATTACTGTATACAAAGTATGTTATCATGCATTCGTGTCCTTGGGGTCCTACTATGGCCATGTTACTACAACTGCTAGCAAATGTTACTTAAATCAAACTACATAAGCTTCTACATCATTAGGCATTAGTCATGTCTTGTTATTGGACAACTACTAGTGGCAACAGGATCTACTGAGTATCTGTTGCTATCATTTATTTGGGAATGTTGCTAGCTATTAGTCATGTCATGGTGAAATCCTTGTAGGCTTTTGTCACTTTGACTCCCATATTCCAGGGACCTGTCTAAAGGCATGTTGTCATCATACACTAATTACCATATTGCGGTAAACACATGGTCATGAAAATTAATTGTTACTAGAATGTGGACACATGAAGCTTTTAGGTAGATTATTTATTGTCTCCATTTACTTCACTTCATTCCAAATATTAATTTGCTTAACAAAACATTTACTGTCTTTACATAACATTATGCTTTATGTTCTTCAATGTTTTGAATAACCGAAAGTCTAATGCATGAACATACTGTATATAAATATGATCTTTAATGCTTAATGTTCTTACCGGTATACCCAGTGCTTTGAGAATGTTCATTTTACACATTGGACAGGTGCGGTGATCTAATAACCAAGGATCTACACAGGATTTGTGGAAAAGATGCCTGTAAAGCAAAGAAGACACAAAACACACATAAAGATATATTGGCTTGATCACTGAGATGTTATCAAGTGCAACAGAAACTCTTCACAACTAGCAACAGCAGGGCAGAACAAACTACAAAGTATTCTCAGTGGACCTATTCAAGTCCAGTATTCACCTATATCAGGTTCATCAGGACGCTGTTCTTGGTTTGTGTTGGTTTCCCTGTGATGCTCCATTTTCTTCCCATAGTCCAACAGTAACATAGGTTACCTTCCCAAGTTGGTCCTAGAGATGGTATATTCATGTGGGATTGTTGTAGAGACATTAGGGTATAACTGATAGCTGCAGGGTCTTTATTACTCATGCAAACATTTCATACAGCCACATTTGTAATTTCAGTAAACCTAATAAGCCTGCTACAGGCTCCAACAAAGGACAATTGAATGTTTTGAATGCTTTTTTCTGTACATTTAATTGAGTGATCTATTAGTAAGTCTTGGGTTCCTCATGGGCACGGCAGCCATGGCTGCAATCTTGTATTCATGTAAAACAGGTCAGAGATGAATCTTATAAACATCAGTTAAATAATAACTTAAAGGAGAATTATGAGGTGAGTGCTTTTCACTCATCCTCATAGTTCTAGCCGACTTGTGACAATGAAACTGTCACAGGTCGGCTCAGTAGATCGGGAAGTGAGCGAACACATACTGTCGTTCGCTCACTTCTCAAAAGACTGTATTCCCCCCTCCCGTCCGATCCTCCAGCGCTGACTGGCGGAACGGATGGGGAGGGTAGAGCTGGCTCTGCCTCTAGATAGGCAGAGCCAGCTGTCAACTTAGGCAGTTGGGCGGATCCAGACATAATTGTCGGGATCCGTTTCAGCTGCGGCGTCTCAGTATACCGCGAGCTGTGGCTTGCGGTATACTGAGCTTAGGGTGACGGGAGGACGCTAGTTTGTGTCCTCCCGTTACCCTATGGAGAACTATGGGGAAAAGCCCTAACCCCATAGTTCTCCTTTAATTTTTGACTCCTCTAGCTCTGTCAGGTGGAGAAAGGTTTAGTGGTTTGGTGTACAACTTAAAGTTTAGTAAAATAACTAGTAATTAGTAAAATAACGCTTTGCTGCCTAGAATCGGTGTACTATGAACATGCTCATTCACAACGACAACTGTACTCTTTGCATTACATACGGTATCTCCACATTTATATGAACTGCGCCAATATTACGACTCACACAAAAGCAATAACCCAGCCTGGAAGCTGCTAATGAATGTGAAACCAAAATGCATTTATGAACAATCTGGACTGATACATGGCCTACAAATATAAGAGCCAAGGATTACTTCCAAAGAAATGGAAGATTTATGGTGTATGATTTTACATGGAAGCAATCAACTGTCTTTATAAATATTTTTGCCTTAATTTATTCTTTACAGCCTGACAGCCTTGTGCCCCCATAAATTCCTGTGCATCAGAGCACTGTAATTCATGCCACGTTTCAAAAGAAAATGCATGTGATTTAGCCATAAAATATAAACACCGGCATCACATATATCTTATACACAAGCATATACGTAATGTCTCAGTGTACAGTGTTTTTTCTTGTGATAAATTACTATGGCCACTAGCATATTTTTAAAGTGGACCTACACTGAATAACGCTCAGCTCTGTTTGAACATTAGTCATTAGTAGATTCAGTGTGAGGCTATGAAGGTTCAGCAAGGATATTTACAGTAATGATAAGGTTAATTCAGCATTTTAGGGGTAACCCCTGGGTAAATAGATAGAATATATAATAAATAGCTGTACTACATATATGGGAATGGTCTAGTCTACCAAAATTTGACAATCTGTTCAGTTACTTTGATCTAAGCACCTCTGTCAGACAGCACATTTAGACTGGTGAAATTAGTTTTCTCCATTGGTGTTAAAGCGGACCTTTACCCTTATCTTTAAAATAACAACAAACACACCTTTAGAAATGTTTAGTAATGACAATCTACAAAACACATACTTCTAGATAATTGCCGGCTTTGTATTCTTTCCATTCTATATTTCTCTTTTCTTTCCCAGTCTGACAGTGGCCATATTTACTAAGGGCAGATTACTAGATCATCTATTACTCCCTGGATTTCTGGCACATGTGACTAGCCATGTGACCATGCACATCATCTCAGGGGAGGAAAATGCTTTTCCCTGAGATTTCATGAGATTACAGATGAGATTTCCCTGCTGATGACAAGGCAATCCCAGTGTGCATTGCGTTGGCAAACTGAAATCATTTGTACTTTCAAAGCAGGAAGTGAATGTCCTGCAAGTATTTCACAATCACAGCATTTTACACCTGACATGTCTATGTTACTATTAATCACCATACATAGAGGGATGGATTGGTAGAATCTGATTTTGGAGTAAAAAGGTCCACTTTAAGAAACACAGCTTGGTCGCCAGCCCACCCCAGCCTGCTTATGAATAATAAGAGGCAGTAGCATACTGATGAGATCATGTCTCTACTCTTCCTACTGTTCTGCAAACCTTGGGGAAAAAAACACCTTAGCCACCATCTATTCAGTCACTGGCTTCCAAGAATCAGCAATACAGTCAAGGAACTAGTTACCTTTGAAAGAGGTCAGCAATTAGAGGACTGCTTTTACTTATGTCAACACTGACAAAAAGCCCTCAACAATCCTAAAGTGTCCTTTCCTGTTCAACATAGTATGAATAAATGCATTGATCTTTATTATACAATCAACCAGACACAACAACTCCTCTACACTGCTCCTGGACCAGAACTCAAATAAAAGCACAGCAATTAACAAGTTCAGAAGGCTGATTTGAAAAATTTAACTGGGGCAGTGGCCTCGCTCGTTAATGCAATAATATTACTGTCTATAGTAGTCTTAAACCCTCTGAGTTTAATCTGGCATTCAAAAATGATTAATGTAATAAAACCACTCAAATCTATAAGTCGGAACTGCAGTGATGTGGAAGCTATTAAGTTGTTTAAATACATTCGCAAACTCTGAGACTAGAAGAAACAAAAGTCGGAAGAAAATAACTGAACAATCTGCAGATGTTTCCAGCCATCTCTGGGAATTCAGAAAGGAATTCTTATACTTAAACTAAACTCAGAATTTTGCTAAAAAAATAAAATAAAAAAAGTCCAGTTACGTAATGTACAAACAGCACTGGTGGCCCTAGCAACATCAGCTTTTCTTCTTAGTTGATTCATCCCAAGCTACTAAAAGCTGACGATTGACTGGTTGCTATCGCTTGCCACAACTGCATATCATTGTTATCATTGTCTGGTATTTTGTTTTAATAAACGTATTTCTCATGGGAGGCTGAATTTGTCGGCGAACTTTAGTGCTAATAGCAGTGGTGTACCTGCCCACCCCAGGTACAGCCAAGTTGTTTTATGACAGCACTCCAATGCTAGACGCACACTGCCATGGTACACGAAGCTCTGCAGTACCACCCTGGCAGCCCTCAGATACACAGGCAGCACAGAGCCAAGGCAAGCTAATGCTCTCCTCTGCAGCACTAGAACAGAAATAGGAGGATTTTTCACTAGACACACTTGTTCCAGTCACGATATAAGACAGGATTTCATTTTTTATATTAATTAAGTAATGTCATACTCCATCAAAAAAAAAAAAAAGTTTTGACTTTAGATATTAAGACTGGAAATGAGTGTTTGTGCAATGCATACAGTACAGATGGAGGCGCTATACATAATGAGCATGCTGTAGCCTGTGCAGAAATGCTTGCTCTTTACAGCGTTTCCACACCCACACTGTAAAACCATTTGTTGCTACTTACACAGGGCTCCCTTCAGAGAGATCTGTTTTCCATTTACACATGATGTGGGGCTTCCTTGGAAGGGAAGCAGTGAATTAATTCTTGGTTTCCAGCACTTACTTCCATGAACTGGCACGACTCTCGCTGTTAACATTCCTAGTAGCTTCACTGTAATGTCTTAACTCAGTGCTGTCCAAGATTTCCATGAGGTGGGGTGGATATATCTTATAACTACAAGCTTGCAGAATGGGTTTCATTACATAAACAGTGATGTCACACTACTGAGGTTATGCAGTTCTTAAAGCCACAGAAGAGCTTTAAGGTTTGGAGCAACAATCAATGAAACCATATGTCATTTTAATAAAGGAGAACTCCTCTAAACTGAATGCACAGCATAACCCCAACGTAATATCAGAAACAAATGGAACCATTTCTGAGACAAAGAACTGTTTTTAGCTGCCCTGTGCCTTCAACACTCATGGCTCAGGTGGAAGAATTAACAAAAAGATAGGAGCTGCGAGTGGTTCTCCTCCTCCTTGTCGATAAAACAAGCCCTACTTACCCTGAATCCAATGGTCTTATAGTGTAACTACACATGATACTATTTAATATTGCACTGTACTATATTATATATACTGTACTGTCCCCTGCTCTCAGCCCAAGTCTTAAACTCACCTGTCCTTAAATCCAGCTAGATATCACTGATGAAGCCAGCAAGCAGCTTGTCAAAATCTTTTGGAGCTGGGCACAAATCTTGTCAAAATTATTTGGAGCGTACACAATAACTCTTTATTAAATCCTATAGAGAGTTCATACATACTGCTAGAGCATGTGAACATAGAGCTCCAAAACATTATGGCATTAGAAACTATAGAAAATGATTTATTTAGTTCCCGTTTAAATGGGTTGCCCTAATAACATAACCAATGAAAGAGAATATAGGAATTTATTTAAGGCTAAGAATATTTTTTTCACCTAGTGTGCAAATCTGCTAAATAAATACTGCATTAGCTTTTCATAAGCCAGGAACTACTGCGCCAGCTTACCCATGTGTTCTATAAGAACAATGTGAATCTGGGTAAAAATAATTATCTTGGTTGCTACTCCAGACTTTTAAGGAACCTATCTGAGTATTAATGCGGATGTTCAAGCGTGTATGTTTTCCTAATTGTTCAACCAGTGGTATCTGTTCTCTGGAGATATGTCTGCAAGGTTCAAGGGGTACCTACATGCACATAACACTCTGGATTTTTGGAAAATAATGTAGTTATCAATCAGATATGAGGAAACATTTAAGTTTAAGATAAAAGGAATAATTTGTAAAATATTCACACAGAGATGTGGGGTATGTGCCAAGCGACCCTTTATGTAACATGACCATTCCTGGAGGTATATGGTCTAAATACATTCATAGAGCTCAGAAAGACTAGCCTCTACAATATACATTCTGGCCACAACTCTTGCAAAAATAGAGTCATATGGGGCCACTCTTACGATCCTTCATTAGGTACTAATCATACGCTAGAAGAATGCTAACCTTTCTACATACAATTCTACATTATTTAAATTGGTCCAAGAAGAAACTCTGGTGGGTCTGGAAAAAAAAACTGGTAGAGGAGAAGGTGGTGGTTCACATTAGCATAATAGCAAAGTAGAAGGCTGGCAGAATGTTTAATTTGCACTCTAATATTCAATCAGAAGGGCATTGTAAGTTCATGACAGGAGGATGGAAGTCCTTCATATTGACAAGAAAGGGATGTTGTTACTTACACATTGTCTCTATAAGAAAGAACAGCGAAATATAGATGTATTATAATATCGTATTGTTGTCCAAAGACAAATTTTCTGTAACGTGTTGTAAAAAGCCGTGCTGAGAGATATTGGCACTGTTTTGAGCTAGTGGAGTAACTGCAGACAAACGCATAATTCATTCAGCTACTTCCCTTTCAAGGCAGCCCCACATAGTTTGGAAATTAAAAACAGACCTCAGTAAAGTCACTATAACCAGCAACACACATTTACAGTCTGGGTGTGGTGAGACTGTAAACTACAAGCCGTTCCTGCACACACTTGAAAAGTTCTACACCTACGAAATGAATAATTTATAAAAACTAGTGTGAAGAGGAACTGTGGTCAACAGCAGCTAGACAAATTGTACGTTTATCTTCCCAGTGAAGGAAAGAAAATTAAGCTGAAACCTGCAATATTACCACAATCAGAACCAAAGGACTTCATAGGAAAGGGATCATTCCCTTGCTGGTCTGCAAGAACACAACATTGCCCTCCAGCAACTTCAGCGAGAAATTATAGCTAATTTGCCTACAAACATCAGGTGGTCATAATAATCTGACCACTCAGTGTATACTGGATTGGAATCCCAGAACTGACATGGGTAGTGCTCAAGCCTGCTGTTGAGCACCATGTGGACTTTCTATAGACCCGTCTCTGTCACTTACTTTGTAATATGGCACATAAATCAGAGTGTGTGGGGTTTGTTGTCCAGGGAGCCATGCCATCCCCCTGCCCCATTCCGGAGTACAGAGGGTGGTCCCCTAAAAGGGGCCAGATCAGATCACCAAGCCTACCTACTTCCAAAGCACGGAGATTAGGCCCCTGGAAAGGTCCAGAGTTTCTGGCAATCTCAGAGAGTAATTGGATCTGTTCTGGCCGGAGCCTGATTGCACAAAATAATGGGCTAAGCACAACAGGCCACACTGTAAGCACTGGCATGCCGAATGTATTGGTCACCATTGTTCTACACAAAGAACAAGGGTACTTCTCTGCAGCATGCTGGCAGAGGACAGGCTTTTCTACTGAGGCTGTGTCTGCTTTCTAAAGGAGGCACCTAGAATGTAATAAGCATTTTTAAACTGACAGTTTATTTGAGGATTTAATGAATATCTGGAGTCCATTCCTTTAACATTCATCTTCTCAGACAGAAAATGTAACATTTCTTTGGCCACTTCTCCCACCTAGCATGTTGATGCTGAGGAAAAACATTTGATTTTCATGATTCAACAGACTATGTAATTAAAGTGGAACCACATCTTCCTATCTTCTACAACCAAGGAAGATGTCATCTTAGCCTCTATATGGATTGCAGTTCTCATGGTTCTGCACATGTGGATCAGCTCTGACTCCAGCCATATGTGGGCTTGAAAGTTCAGTTCATGAGCTTAAAAAAAACCCCACCGGCAATCTTGACAGCTGACATGCCTTAAAAGTAACTGTTTTGTGAGGGTCAAGGTCCACTTTAAAACACTTCTGCTGATTGGCTTTCAGCTTGCGGAGTCCTCACTGCTGCACTATTAGAAATAACATGATTCTGTTTGAAACACATCTCAGAATCCGTCACTGATCATGATGATTTCAGCAATAGCTGCTTTTAATCTCTGTTTTTGATGAAACCATTAATAGATGAAACTGATAATGTAACTTACTCTTTTATAAGTACCATAGTATACATTCACTGGATTATCAGAGTCCTGAAGTTTACAGACTACTTGCAGATCAATAATAAAGTAAAATGAAACTCGGATTATTTATTGCATGGAAACGAACACAGCTCAAGTGCACCATGCAATAGGCCATAACAGCCTGCCTATTCTCATTTGACTAAAATCATATTGCAGATGAGTTGCAATCGGTTGCCATTTGTTAAAAAAACCTAAATGCAATGTTGAATAAGTTGGGTATGCGATCCAGTTCAGTCAAACAATGTTTAAAAGAATACAATGAAGTCCTTAATTGTCTTAGCCACCAAAATATCTAACTTGGTAGGTTTACTTTCACAGAAGCTGCTAAGAACTATGCCAACTATGTATAAAAACTTACCGGCACGGCAAGACTCGGACAACATCATTGGGTTTATATCCTTCAATGCATACAGCGCAGTTGTCAAAATCTGGCTCTGTTTCCTGTTAGAAAGACAGTAATAGTTAGAAAAGATCGTTCAATGTGCTCTTCTTTCCAGATTATCTATAAAATAAAATTAATCTAATACAGCAAAGCTCATAATGCATGTGATTCCTGGGGTTACATCAACATGTTATACTGCACTTACAAAATTAATTGTCATAAGCACATTGCTAACAAAAAGATACACAGTATGCAGGACTTTCTGGCAAGTACAGCCAACCTACTTATAAATAATGATTATGTTTACCAGTTATTTAAACCAGATAATAGATTCCAGGGCCATTTGATAAATGCTGGTTGGAAGGAAATGTGGAAGATGTTGACCACAGCAACTAATAAGATTTCTTGTTAATTTTGTGTTGAAGAAAGAAAAATTTAAATACCTGCTCTAGGGAGAATGGCTAGCTTTTCCACCATTATTCTTTAGAAACCTGCTCTAATGTGAATACTACACTAAACGGGTTTGTTCACTACAGAGCCGAAGGATTAGCCGAACGTTGGGGTAAATCCTTCGGCTTCTTTTTCAGATTTGGAAGTCATTTAGTACAGCTGAACTGAATGGCTGCTGTATGCACTATTCTCAGTAGCGCGTACAGCAGCTGAAATAAACAACCAAATGTAGCGGAGCCGCATGAACATGCTCTGGCTCGCCAAAGCCAAACAAACAGCAGAAACGGAGAGAATGGTCCGCCAAAGTGGACCAAAGTGAAATTTGGTTAAAAGATAGAATTTAAAAAAAATAAAGCATATAGTGTTCTCTCCAATTCATTCCAGACTATTTAGGTCTGGAATGTTAGGGGTACCCCGATGCCAACCCCCCCTCCCAAAAAAAACAAAACATGGGGTTCCCCTCCAAAGTCATACCAGACCCTTTAGGTCTGGTAGGAATTTTAGGGGGACCCCAACCCCAAATCCCCTACCAGACCCTTAATCCAAGCATCGGCCTGGCAGAGCATGAGGGGGGGACAAGCATGTGCTCCCCCCGGCACCATACCAGGCCACACGCCCTCGACATGGGGAGTGTGCTTCGACGGGGATGGGGGGCCTCTTCCCCACAACCCTGGCTCAGTGGCTGTGGGGGTCCGTGTGGCCAGGGGGGTTTACAGGAATCTGAGTGCCCCCTTTCATAAAGGGCCACCCAGATGCTGCCCCCCTTGTGAATGAGTAAGGGGTAGTTGTTACTACTACTCATTCACCAAATAGTATATAAAACACACCACATAGTGAAAAAAGTCCTTTATTTGAACAAAAAATACAAACACAGTTTTTGACAAGTCCTTTATTTAGAAGAAAAAAAAATTTGATGTAATCCACTGGTCAATCAGGTCATCCACACCAATCATGATGGACGATGGTGACAGACTCGCCGAAAGAAAACAAAATTGCCGCTGCTCACCAAAGTCTCGCTGCACAATGACCCGAATTTAAACAAATGGGCGGAGCAAGTCATGATGCCAAGGGACAAGCTCCACCCATTTGTTTACATTCCATGCTAACTCTCTGTCTTCTAAAGGGTCTGGCATGACTTTTGAGGAACACCACGCTTTTTGTTTTTTGGCATAGGGTCCCCCCTAACAGACCAGAAGAGTCTGGCATGAATTAGGGAGGGGAGTACATGCTGTTCTTTTAGGTTTACAACAACATTTTTAATTCTGCTTCACTACCTCTGAGGTAGTGAACACAATAACTGAACGAGACGCTGACCGTTCAGCAATTCACTCTCTACTGTTTAACCCCTTGGAGAATAGGGGAGAACAGCAGAGAATGAACTGTTATGTTCGCTTTAGCCGATCTAAAAATTGCATCGGCTGAGACGAACAGGCTCCTCACTTCGATTCAGTCACACAAGCTGCGGCTATCCAGCCGAGCCAGAGGCATGTGAAGTGAGCTGAATGCAGCCGATGTACAGCTAAAAATAGCCGTTCGCGGCTGCAGTGGATAGCTGAAGAGGCTTCGGCTCACCTCAGTTATTCCTTCGGCAGCTTAGTGAATAACTCCCTAAGACATTTAGAAGTTGATTTATAAAACTTCCGCCCAGCCATACGTTGGGCAAATTTCCTCTGCTGCTTAGTTCCATCTAGTGGCGGGAATGACTTGTAAAGGGTATTCACCCA